GACTTTCTGAACATGTGATAAAAATTTTGTGTTACATTTACTTGGCCAATTTCAAATAATAAAAATTTAAAAAGTATCCACAATATTTTGGTAAAGCACTGTATTTGTATAAAAGAAGTGTTGTACTATCTTGCAAAGATAATTATAATTAAAACATCAAATATTTCAATACTTTTTATTTAAAATTTTAAAAAAATTTAATCACTTATTGTTACTACTTATGGCTTTGGATTTTCTTCTTTTAAGCAAGTACCAGATTGGAATAACCTCAGGATAAGACATTTTTTATACTATGGAGTCTGTTATACTAGAAAGAATATGAACTTTTATAAAAGTTAGATCAAAAGCTTTTTTTCATGTAACCTTTTCTACTTCAATCTGTTTTTAACTTGTAATTATCAGAAAGACCAGAGATTCTATCTTTTATAGCCTAACTAAATTTGGTTATAGTTAAGGATTATTGAATATGACGTATGCAAGATATCTTTATTTTATTGCCAATATAGAACAATTGTTTAATATAAACTATGGATGATTCCATTTTAATTTTTTTATTAAAATACAACCTTTTAAAACCCAATTTAGAAAATTTTAAAAATCAAAATTTTGTTGGTAAAAAATTTTTATTTTATAAATCAAGCATCACTTTCCGTGGTGACTGTTTGTGTAGTATACATGATTTTTGAAATTGTAAGTACAGTATAACAAAAACAAACTTTTTATATTACTAAAAATATATAAGCTATGTTATGTACTGTAAATGAACCCTTCTTTACACAAAAACGATCTATCGTTTTTTTTAATTTAATTCCAATGTTTCATGCTTTATTTTTTGGTTACTTTATAATGCGTATGAAAAGATAAAAACAAAGCACCTAAATTTACTTGCAAAAAATTTCTGATAATTAGTTAATTAGTTAGCCGGATTAAAGTAATGTTTTAAGAAAAGTGTAAAAAGAAGGTAAAGTCTATATTCATGGTGATGAACAATGACCGAGCCATTTTTGTATTTTACAAGTAACTTTTGGCCCGCTGGTCACTGTATTTTGATATTGAATTAAGATCACTTTTTAGGTCACTCGGCACTTTTGTCATTGTCCGCCATCATATCATGGCGGATATGATTCAGCCATTCTTCGACGCCGATTGCTTGATAATGTGACCGAGGAGATGAAAAAAGATGATACACATGATGACCACCCTAAGAATTTATCAATAAAATAACGTGTAGTTCGTGGTTAATGATAATAGTTATAATGAAATCCATGCTAGGCATATCTTTATTTAGTCAGTGAATAAATGCAAAAATACTACCGGAATAGGAATAAACTGGATTTCGGATTTAGACACTAAAATTAGAAATAACGATAAAAATGTAAAATTCAATATACAGTGTGTTGATTTTGAGGGCTCGTAAATAAATTACCTTTCTTAAATTCTTCAACAAAGTGACCGGATGCTTTAAATGGAACGAAAGTGTCTCGATCTCCGCTGGTGAATGACAGAATATTATAAATAATTAAAGGATTATGATAATTGTCGAAGAATTACTATCGTCGAAAAACTTACTGGAATACCAAAAACGGAACCGAATCCTTTTTAATAAGGTGTAACGGTGAATGCTCTTTCAAGAATGATTCATCCTTTACTTTCAATCCGGCGACATTCTGACAAAAATCCTCGCCGATATTCATGTCCCAAAATTTATTCTCGTCCAGGAGATCTGTAATAGCGTTGATTAAAACACACGCTTTTACCGAAGTGTCAGTTTTCTCGAAATTGGGTTGGTATTTCGGATCATTTTGTGTGAAAGCCATCGCAGCAGCAATTTGTCCACCAGCATCATCCCCTTATAAAGCATGTGAAATATATTGATTATGAAATTCTGATCCATTTCGATAAGAATAAGAAAAAGAAAAAGAAAAAAAAAACGAAGATAATTTACCGGCCACGGCAATAAATTGTGGATCACCACCGAATGCGGCAATGTGAGTTTTTATCCATCGCAACGCTCTCTTTACGTCGATCAATTGATTAGGATATTTGGAGGTAGGTGCAAGTCTGTAATTCGTAGATACCACAACCTGAAGAGTTCACGTAATGTTTATGATTGCCGGTATCGTAAGCGTTTGTTTGAATAAAAAAACTCTCATACCCAACCGCTTTCAGCCATGTGACGTATCAGAGGATATGGAGCACCTTTATCTCCTCTAATCCATTCACCACCATGGATGAACAACTTCAAAAAAAAGGGAAATTTAGTAAATTAAACTTGATCTAAAACCGTTGATCTTAAGTAGATGTATTACCAGTACGGGCTTTACATCAGATGGCTGTTTGCGAGCGTATACATCTAATGACATGAAGTTGACCTGTTCAAAAGCAACTTTGTTGGCACTATTTGCTTCTTCATGAGTAGCATAACTTACTAAAGAAATAATAGATCAACAATTGATTGATGATAAATTCGAAGGAAACATAATTATGTTATTACTCACTGTTAGAATAATAAACTACATCCTGTGGAATAAAACGGGGGTTGACCATGCGTTGCCAGAATGTCTCACTGAAAATTCGTGTTGAAAAGAGAAAATATGAATTATCGCGTCAAGCATAAGATCTTTATTCTGAAATTTTGTTACCTCTTGAATGTTGGCAGTTCTTTACTTCCTGAATACAATTGAATCGCTTGCTCAATAGCGCGTCTTGCTTCATAGGCATCAACAAAAATAACTACAAGTCTGATTGAACACAATTAGGTTGATCGATGAGCTCAAGGGGTGATAATTTCTTCTTTACATACCCAATCATGGTAAGAAGGTCAATTATGTAAAATATTTGGGGAACGATACCCTCTAAAAATTTAAGGGTAAAGAATATTTTCGTAATGAGAGACTGAACGTTTTTTTCTTTTGAAAAAAAAAAAAGAATCAACAAATGATAATTATAAATAACTCACTGAATACTCCGAGCATTGAGGCGAAAATAATGAGTGCAATCTTAAGCCCTATGACAGGTAATGGCCATTCTGAAATCAAGGAAAAGCCAAAGACTGTCAAGTGCTGCAGTCTATGTATCTTAGGTAGCCTGCCCTCAAAGCTAGCATATGTTAAACCGGCGAAGAGGAGGACGAACGTGTAGTAAATAATTCCAAAACTCATATTTCAAGGTTTGGTCAATAGTAGGTAAAAAAAATTGCGTATAATATGGATGATCGGCAAAATTTTAAAAGCCCATTCCCGTTTCTTATTAAGTTGTGGATTTTCCTTCTTTCTATTTTTCTTTTATTAGCTACCTGTAATGTAGCGATTATTCATTTCTTGTAATTTTTTTATTTTATTTAGTTTCCTCCTTGAAACCGAGTATCGAGTGCTTCAGCTTATGAAACTTTTTTACTTATTGATTTTGCCAAGTTTAATTCATGCCATTGTAATAACTAGTTTCTTAAATTTTAATGTTCCTTTTGTATTGATACAACCTTTGCCATTTCTCATTTATTGTTTTGATCCAAGCTTTATACATTTTAATTTAAGAGATACTTCACTAATTGAGATCACCGATAATAAATATGTAGAGAGAAGCGATACACCTTGTATTTAACAATCTGTTAACATAAGGGTCAAGAAGTTGTTTCAAAGATTGCACTGGGAGGAACAAGTAGATTATCTTAGAATTGTAAAGGAAACTTGTAGTTTAGTTCGTAAGACCTTGGTGTACATTTTAGAAATTAGATTAAGGAATTATTTCATTTGGAATCAATTCTGAATACAGTAAGTATGCAAACGATCGCAGAACATGATTGACGCATCCATTCAATTAAATTCGGATAATCATAAATCGAACGGAAGCCAATTCAATTATTATAATTGACTCAGTAATTTTTTTTAATAATCAACGTCGACCTTGAGTTTAAGAATCATCTGTTCCTCTTTATCTAATCCGTTAGCCTCCTCTAACACTGTCTCTGTTATTTCAAATTGGTTGAGTGTAGCTATTGCGGTTTGAAGATGATGCAGTCTTTTTTGTTCAGGCGGAAATTCCTTGTTAAAATATGAGATGGCATTAAAATGAGTGATCAACTTTTTTTTCTTTTTAAATAACCTGATTTTTTGGATTCTTACCACTCTCAGTTCTTTGACAAATATCTCCTTTTGTTTTGATTGCAACAGAATTTCTACGAGCCTGGCGATCGTCACGCCAATGTTGTCGCTTGGATATAATAATTTGCACAACTTTTTCATATTCTCGATAGTCTTGTTTCGTTGTTCTTGTCGACTCGCAATACTTTTTTGGGTCTTCACAAAATGTTAATGATAAATGTTACGTTCGATTATTTAGTGCCATTGATTGAATTTTTTACCTCTAATTTGATATTTTCCAATGACCGTAAATATGAGTTACATAAGATTTCAAACTCGGTGGCCGCGTCATCTGTTGATTTTCGAGATGTTTGAATTCAAAATGAACTGACCGAAAGATACCAGCAATAATTAAACATTACTTGGCCAATTGAGCCCTGATTCAATTTGTTGTTCTGCTCGCTTAAAAAATTCGTATTGAGCTTGAATTTGCTTCCATTTGAAATCTTTCAAGCAAAAGTAAGAAGTGTATGTCAACTAGTGTGTTCGTCAATTTGTGCAGATGACAATATCACTACCTTCGTCTGTCTCGATTTCATTGTCACGGGAGACTTCCATAATTGCATTTTGTCGTTCGTCCAGAATTTCTCTTTTTTCACCGATTATCGTATCTAGTTCTTTAATTTGTTCCTCGATATTTTCTAGAACGTCGTTGTCTCTAGGCTTTAGGATTCCGCTAGAATTAACTTTTATAACCAACTGGTGAACTATCACTGGATGCAAACACTTGATACCTTTGTTTTGGTTTTTTTTGGTGTCTTTATTGCCGAAGGTTTTCGCTCTGCAACGATTCGCTGCTTTTGAAGTTGAAGTTCTTCCATCTACAGGAATTCAGTTCAGTTTTTATTTGCGGAAGTGTAAATGTTCCGTAAATGATGCAGAAATCGAAGCTTGCCTTATGTTTATAATCATCCTCCAATTCCTTGACGGATTTTGCCATTCGCTCCATCTTTTTTTTGACTTCCTTTAGTTTTTTGGCACATTCGCCATTGTGAGGCGCCTTTCGTTGTCGAGATGCAGATTGTTTTGCCGATGTACCAGAATGATCTGTTTTGCTACCTGGTTTTTGTATAGAGGCCTGTGATTTTTTCAACTCTTTGTCTAACTCCAATTCCCGCATGTTGGTCTGGACAAAAATGCACATTTAAATAGGTCAAAACGAAATGCTTCTAAAATTTGTCATTCACACACCTCCTCTTGGAGAACATTTTCACGTTGCTCGATCTCAGCCAATAATTCTTCTGCTTTATGTAATAGATGTCTAACGCGTGGTTCGAGTTGAACTGCTACCGATCTTTGGGCCTCACGGATCTCGGGTTCCGTGACTAGTTCAAACACCTTACAACAGGAAAATTAAGTATTTCACAAGTTCTCCAGAAAGACAAAGTTGAGAGAAACAAACGAATTACCCGTTGGCATGCGATTAATTTTCTCAAGCGGGAGAAATTTCTTGTACTACCTTCGAGTTTCTTCACAGAGGCTTTAAGCTAAAAGTAGGGAGAATTAACACTAAGGGCACGTTATCAATATGAATAAAATTTTGATGAAAACGAGTATTATTACCAAAGAAGAACTGTCCTGCAGCCGATGCACACATTGTTGAAGACTTTGAATATGTGTTATCGGCGCCTGGGGAGTATAGTTGGTGGCTCTTCTTGGAGTCATTTTCGGTGTGATCCCAATCAATATGCTTGTGCATTCACGTCTTACGTCAAATTTGATGATCGGATCGGGTATTTATTAAAATTTCACCGCTCTTCAAATTAATAATATATAAGAGCAGAATTCTGACTTTTACGCGTTTTAAGAGATAGGTATTGAAAATTATTATGGAAAAACTTCATAGCATGTTATTTCGCCCCAAAATTGCTGAAGCTTTAAGATGTTGTAAGATGTTTTCTATGCGGAAATTTATGCAGTCTGATATATAAAAAAATTTTTTTTATTTTCACTCGACAACACGCTGGATTTTATAATAGCAAACTTTGAAACCGTGGCCGATATATTACATCACAACAAGAATGATCTCGCTAAAAGGTTGAAACTATCTGGAAAAGAGGTGTCTGAACTTGTGAATACCATTATGCAGGAAATAAAGATGTCTCGTTTGATTTCTTATCCGCCTAAGAATGCGTTGATGCTATTGAAGGAGGGTACGCACCGCATGCTAAGCACGGGTGACAACCAAATCGACAAAATAATCGGCGGAGGCATCTTGTCAAGGGCAATTACGGAAATCGTGGGCGAGAGGTAATTATCGGGAAAACAAATATTTCCATTGTAAAACTCATGTTGATAACTACTTTGGGATTTACATATTTATATAAAGCTCAGTAGGAAAAACACAGCTGTGCCTACAACTTTGCTTGACAGTTCAATTACCAGAGGAATTGGGCGGGCTGAATGGGGGTTTGTAAGACTATCTTAAGTCGCCATCAATTCTCTATCACTTACCAGCTACGTGAAATTTATGTAGGAGCAGTGTATATCTCCACCGAAGGCAACTTTCACTTGAAGCGTTATTACCAGATGGTTTCATCGTTTCAACAAAAGTACAGCAGTTTAAGAGACATTGATTTGGCAAAAAACGTTCATTGCGTGACCGTTCCTGATCTAGAGACACAGAGAAATGTTCTTCGTCACCAATTACCCGTTCTCCTCTCTCGCAACAATATACGACTAGTAATCATTGATTCCGTGACGGCAAATTTCCGCACTTTCGAAACTTCCGAATTTCCGAATTTCCGTCAGCGGGCTTCAGAAATCTGTCAACTGGGTATTCAACTAAAGGAAATAAGTGATAGATTTAATGCACCCATTGTATGTGTGAACCAGGTTTCCGATAATTTCGCTATCGAAGACTTTGAAGAATGTGATGACGATGCGCATTATGAGTATAACTGTTACCAAAGACAATTGCTAATTGGAAATGGAACAAAGATTCCTGCATTGGGATTGACATGGTCCAACATTATAAATATAAGGATCATGCTTTCTAGACCGAAGAGAATTTTGACGGAAGAGGATGGTAGTGCTGGTGATAATGATCCGAGAACAATTGCATTGTTAATGGCCCCACATGCTCAGAGACGTTTTGGTGAATACTATATTGACAGGCATGGGATACATGGGTTGGTTAATTAGTGGAGAACATCTATTTACCCAGTAATATGAGGCAACCTTCTATGCCTTATAATAATAGTTATTTAAATAGAAAAATGTATGAAACTTTAGCCATTCACCGAATTCTTTAATAAATCAACATCGCAGAAATACTACGAGTATAATGAACATATCTATATAGTTTATATATTTATAAAATGATCCGCAAAGAAAAACTATTGTTTCAAAACATTAGATCAAATTTTTTTCTTTTAGAAGAGATATGATGTACATAGGTTTGGGAAAGAACAATTCAAATACAAAGGAAATAATTATGCATGATAAATTTCATCTGCTTGACTATAAATACACTTCATTTATCTTTAAACTTCTTTCCTTCTTATATGTACTAACCAAAAAAATTTTTTTCTGTGGTATAAATATTTCTTTAGTTTTTCGCGAATTTCTTTTTTTTTTTTCTGACTACTTTCATTTTTGTGTATAAATATATTATGAATCCGTGCATTTTCTTTATACAAATTTCGGATTAGGTATTATGAATTTCCGTAAGTGATTCGGTAGAACGAAGGTGAAAAATAAACAAGACAACAATAGAAATCTTCAGATAAGCAATTAAACGGTAATTACGCCTAAAAAACCTTAACTGTACACGTTTTGTGCATCTCCTTTTAAGTTCATGATGATTGTTGCTGCACCGTCTATTAGAAAACAAGTTAATTAAATAACATTGCGTTCTAAAAGAAGGGAGGAGAACAGAAATGTTCATACCCTATAGTTATTCCCCCGATAGTTATTGGAGTATCCTCCGCGATAACCATTATTACCACGACCACCACGATACCCTCCTCTACTACCTCTATAGCCACGACGACCACCTCCACGATACCTTCCACCATCGATGGAAACTTGTCCAAATGTTTCGAGGTTAAGGCGCCTTTCTTCAGACTGTTTTTGCCTTCGTTCAGCGACAGACAACACGCGGCTACATTAAAAAGTAAGTATGATCATCAAAATCATTCGTTTAAATGAAAATATGAATAAACCTCAACTCACCGGCCATCAGGTCCCTGTTGTTCTAATCGTTCTTTAGTCTCACAGGAAATGTTGTCAAAGAATGATTTAGCTTTATTATAATAAGTCTCAGAGGGAGGTATCAAAATGTCTTCTTCTTCTTCCTCCGGACCAAGCGCAATGCCTTCTACTTCATTTTCTTCTTTAACTTCATGATTAGGAACTATTTTCTTCACGACTTCCTTGACGAGTTCATCTTTATTAAACTTCGCATTCGACGATTCGAAATCGAAATCTGACTGAGGAACAGTAATTCTGCTTCGGTCGTAACTTTGACTATAACTTCTTCGACTTCCACGACCTCTACGGCCCGACTGAACCAAGTGGCCACCCATCCCAGGAAGCCGATTACTACTGACGGTAGAACGATTATTGCTTGAAGCTAATTTGTCCATAAGAAATAAAGAAGATTAGGCAATTTACGTTATCAAATGTAACTGATCGAGTAAGTTAGAGTTAATTAATCTTATGACTCGTACCTTGTCTCTCCCCGTTAATCTCCTTTTGGTTTACGCTTAACTCACTGACTCTCTTAGTCAAGTTTTCTACTTCCGCGGCCGTTTTCGTTGTTTCTACGACCGTATCATTTCTAGCGCTTGTTGATGGTGCAGTGACCTTGGAGCCAGTTCCTCCTGTCTTGGCGTAACTTTTGTTCATTGAGCCTTGCTTGTCCGTTTTGTGGTCTTCAGCCTTGTCTGGTGCACTATGCTCTTTCTGTATTCAATAGGAATTGGTGTGAAACATGGACCATGGTGGGATAGGTTAATTAAGTGTAAATTTTGCTGCCAAAATTGCAGACCTGTTGTTGTGACTTGGGTTGTTCAGCTTCTTTGGCAGCGTTCTCGTTGATACCGTTATGCTACCGAAACAAGGGAAAAACGTAATTTTAATAAAATTTTGCGGTCATCAAAATAAAAATAACAACTGAAGAAAGAGGACAAACATTTTTCACAACTTTTTTATGCTGGTTATTCAAAAATATATTTATAAATAAAAGGAAAAGACCATTCGAGTTTAAGAAGTGAATTTATAAGAATAATGCATTTATTATCTAATTCAGTCAAAAAATTTTACTATTGGTGAAGAAAATACCTGCTGAGGAACTTGATGCTGCCAATATTGTTGTTGCTGTTGGAATGGGACCGCTGGCATTTGTTGAAGATAGTAAGGATTCAGAGGAGCTCCGGCATAATTGGGTGGAGGTTGTACCCCCAACGGCGGTGGAGGCGCAAATCCTTGAAAACTTGGCGGCCGCGGAGCAGTAGTCTGTGTAATTATAACATTTGTACATTAGATCACAATGATGCAGATAATAGAAGTTGATTTTCGTTTTTTCTGAATATTCGTTCTAAACGATCAGAAGGAAGGCAACATGGAATTATCAACATTGAATTTTGCGCTTCAGCATGAATATATCCAGTTTAATCTCGTCACATCATTAAGAACGGAATGTCTTATTTTGCATAAGTCTTCAGGAACTATAATATTTTCCTACATTACACACGCATCATTAATATATTTTGTAATCCAATATTACAAGATCTCACCCCAAGAATTGCAGGATCATTAGGAACTTGAGGTGCCATAGACTGCTGTTGAGCCGGGGCTTCGCATACGTGCAAATCTTTTACATCCGAGCCACGAAACACTATGTATTCAAAGACATTGTCGGAGGGAGGAATTTCTTCAGCGGGATTTCCTCGACGGCCTTCGGTTCCGAATGAACGAACTACGGAAATTACACACAAAAAAAAGAAAAAAATATCAAGACATTTTGTGTAAATTTTGTTAAAATAAAGCGGTCATATATTATGCAATATTTGTGCAAAGATCCATAATAAACCATTTCATTAAAAATTGCCCGGGTAAATGATGGTACATATATATGAGGTGTTCTTTCACAAGCTTTAAAAGCTTCTAAGGCGAAAACCAAATTACGATCCTGTCACATGAAGTGAAATGGACTTTTACACAAACCTTGTTCAAGCGCCACAGTCGAGTCGGCAGAGTTGATACTGTGCAGGATTCCCACATATCTTATATCACTCCGCGATATCAAACTGATTTTGGATCCTATGTACCCAACACCACTCATCTTCGAAAAATTTTGAGTTGAGCGAAGGTGGGATAAAGTACTTATTAT